GTTCCTGGAAATCTATCGACCCAAAGTTGGTGAAAATCACGCTGCGCGTTGCCCGGTCTCGACGACTTTCTAGTCACTAAGTGGCTATATTTCGGCCAGACTGCTCATAACGAAGCGTTCAAAAATTTTTCCTGTCTCCATTTCACTGAAAACTTAAGTCTTCTTAAGTTAGTTTAGAGTCCCTAGGACTCGGAAATATCGCCCAAGTTCCTGGAAATCGACCCAAAGTTGGTCAAAATCACGCTGCGCGTAGCCCGGTCTCGACGATTTTCTAGTCAATAAGGGAATTAAGACGGGCTATATTTCGGCTAGACTGCTCATAACCAAGCGTTCAAAAATTTTATTGTCTGTCCCTTTCACTGAAAACCAAAGTCTTTTCGAATTAGGTTCGAGTCCCTTGGTCTCGGAAATATCGTCCAAGTTCCTGGAAATTGACCCAAAGTTTGTCAAAATCACGCTGCGCGTAGCCCGGTCTGGGCGACTTTCTAGTCACTAAGTGAGTTAAAGAGGGGCTATATTTCCACCAGACTGCTCATAACCAAGCGTTCAAATATTTTTCCTCTGTCCATTTCACTAAAAACCGTGATCGTCTTCTCGAATTAGTTTAGAGTCCCTGGAACTCGGAAATATCGCTTAAAATCCTGGAAATTGACCCAAAGTTGGTTAAAATAAACCTACGCTAGCCCGGTCTCGGCGACTTTGAGCACTGTCCAAATCGATAGACTTCCACAAGTTAAATACACGTGTGTAGATTGGGGGGAGGGCTGAAAGTAGCATCTTTAAAAAGTTAGGTAGGCATTGTTTGGGACTCCTCCACCTAAAACACGCATGTGGCACACTTCTAAACGCGCGAGAACTTACGAGAGAAAAGAAAGTTAATATGGGCGAGACTCTCTCAACCAAGCACGATCCAAATCGATGAACTTTCACAAGTGAAATAAACGTGTGTAGATTTGGGGGAGGGCTAAAAGTAGCATCTTTAAAACGTTAGGTAAGCACTGGTTGGATCCCCGCACCTAAAACGCGAGTGTGACACACCTCTAAACGGCGAGAACTTACGAGAGAAAAGAAAGTTAATATGGGCGAGACTCTCTCACCCAAGCACGGTCCAAATCGATGGACTTTCACAAGTGAAATAAACGTGTGTAGATGTGGGGGAGGGCTAAAAGTTGCATCTTTAAAAAGCTACGTAAACACTGGTTGGGATCCCTGCACCTAAAACGCGAGTGTGGCACATCTCCAAGCGCGAGAACTTACGGGAGAAAAGAAAGTTGATATGGGCGAGAATCTCCAACCCAAACACTGTCCAATTCGATAGACTTCTACAAGGGAAATACGTTTGTGTAGATTTGGTCGAGGGCATAAACTAACATTTTTAAAGAGCCACGTTAGCATAGTTGGGGATCCGCACTCCAAAAACGCGAGCTTGCCGCATTGCTAAACGCGCGAAAGCACGCGAGTGAAAAAAAAGAGATAAATGGGCGAAAATCTAAAACCCAGGCATTGTGCAGACCGACAGTTTTCTACTAGTAAAATACACGTGTGCAGATTTGAGAAAGGGTAAAAATCTAGCATGTTTAAAAAGTCAATTAAAGATGGTTTAAGATGCCGAGACCAAAACCGCCAGTGTGGCGCATCTCTAAACGCGCGAGAACTAGCAAAAAGAAGGTTGATATGGGCGAGAATCTCTTACCTAAGCACTGTCCAAATCGATAGATTTGCACAAGTGAAATACACAAGTGTAGATTTCAAGGATGGCTAAAAGTAGCATCTTTAAAAAGTGAGGTAAGCACTGGTTGGGACTCCCGCACCTAAAACACGAGTGTGGCCCATCTCTAAACGCGCGAGAACTTAAAAGAGAAAAGAAAGTTTTTAGGGGCGAGAATCTCCAACCCAAACACTGTCCAAATCGGTAGACTTCCACAAGTGAAATACCTTTGTGTAGATGTGGTGGAGGGCATAGCATAGTTTGGGATCCCCACACCAGAAACGCGAGGTTGCCGCATTGCTAAACGTGTGAAAACACGCGAGTGCAAAAAAAGATATAAATGGGCGAAAATCTTAAACCCAGGCATTGTCCAAAGCGACAGACTTCCACAAGTAACATACACGTGTGTAGATTTGAGAAAGGGCCTAATCTAGCATTTTTAAAAGGTCCAGTTAGCATAGTTTGAGATACCGACACCGAAATCGCGAGTGTGACACATCTCTAAACGCGTGAAAACCCGCGAGAGAAAAAAATATAAATGGGCAAGAATCTCTAACCCAAGCATTGTGCAAAGCGACAGACTACGACAAGTAAAATACACGTGTGTAGATTTGATAAAGGGCCAAATCTAGCATCTTAAAAAAGTCCAGTAACCATAGTTTGTGATGTCGGCATCAAAACTGCGAGTGTGGCGCATCTCTATACGCGCAAGAACTTACTAGAGAAAAGAGAGTTGATATGGGCGAGAATCTCTCACCCAAGCACTGACCAAATCGATCGACTTTCACAAGTGAAATACACGTTTGTAAATTTGGGGGAGGGCTAAAAGTAGCATGTTTAAAAGGTTAGCTAAGCATTGGTTGGGATTCCAGCACCTAAAACGCAAGTGTGACGCATCTTTAAACGCGCAAGAACTTATAAGAGAAAAAAAGTTGATGGGGGCGAGAATCTCTTACCCAAGCACTGTCAAAATCGATGGACTTCCACAAGTGAAATACACGCGTGTAGGTTTGGTGAAGGGATAAACGTAGCATCTTTAAAAAGTTAGGTAAGCATTGGTGGGGATTTCCGCACCTAAAACGCAAGTGAGGCGCATCTCTAAACGCGCGAGAACTTACGAGAGAAAGAAAGCTGATATGGGCAAGAATCTCCAACGCAAACACTGTGCAAATCGATAGACTTCCACAAATGAAATGCATTTGTATAGATTTGAGAAAGGGTCAAATCTAACATCTTTGAAAAGTCCAGAAAGCATGGTTTGAGATGCCAACACCGAAATCGCGAGTGTGGCGCATCTTAAGCTTTAAACGCGCGAAAACACGCAAAAGAAAAAAATTATAAATGGGCGAAAATCTCCAACCCAAGCATTGTCCAAAGCGAAAGACTACCACAAGTGAAATACACATGTGTAGATTTGAGAAAGGGCCAAATCTAGCATCTTTAAAAAGCCCAGCAAGCATAATTTTAGATCCCGACACCAAAAGCGTGAGTGGGGTGCATCTCTAAACGCGCGAGAACTTACTAGAGAAAAGAAAGTTTATAGGGGCGAGAATCTCTCGTCCAAGCAATGTCCAAATCGATAGACTTCGACAAGTGAAATACACGTGTGTAGATTTGGGGGAGGGCTAAAAGTAACATCTTTAAAGTGTTAGGTAAGCATTGGTTGGGATCTCCGCAGCTAAATCGCGAGTGTGGCGCAGTTCTAAACGTGCGAGAACTTACGAGAGAAAAGAAAGTTGATAGGGGCGAGAATCTCTCACTCAAGCACTGTCCAAATCGACAGACTTCCACACGTGAAATACACGTGTGTAGATTTGGGGGAGGGCTAAAAGTAGCATCTTGAGAAGGTTAGGTGAGCATTGATTGGGATCCCCGCACCTAAAACGCGAGTGTGGCGCATCTCTAAACGCGCAAGAACTTACCAGAGAAAAGACAGTTGATATGGGCGAGAATCTCCAACCCAAACACTGTGCAAATCGATAGTGTTCCACAAGTGAAATACACGTGTGTAGATTTGGGGGAGGGCTAAAAGTAGCATCTTTAAAAAGTTAGGTAAGCACTGGTTGGGATCCCTGGACCTAAAACGCGAGTGTGGCGCATCTCTAAACGCGCGAGAGCTTACGAGGGAAAAGAAAGTTGATATGGACGATTATCTCTCACGCCATGAGGGAACGCAAATGACTTCTATTTTAAGTATTGTTCTTTTGAACACTAATGTCAGTTGAATACCAAGGCGCACAAGGACGAAGAACTACCTGACGGGTCCTTTCGGGGGCATAAACATCAAGGGTGGACTTCAAGACCCGATGATAGGAATCAACTAACGAATCCAAATCACGCCGTGATTCCTCAAACAAGGACGAATTCCCTGATCAGTTTCGGACATTCTGTGCCAATATATGTCTGGATTTATGAAAACTGTGTTAAAGACTTTGCGGGCATGTTTTTGGAAAATCGGTCAGATATATGTTGCTTGTTTTTAATCTTACTAAATTAGACAATTAACTGAAAAAATCGCTAAAGACTAAAATAGCTCACGGTTCGAATCCTCACAGTTTTTGCCAGTGTAGTTTTTTGTGCAGGTACATCTGTGGTCGTCAATCTCGTAAAGCGCTTGGCAGGTTCCACCGTGCTGACAGGGGAAACTTTCACAAGTACTCTGGCAAGGAGGAAGCAGTTTCGGGAAATTAAGATCATTAAGATAATCTGTGGTACTTTTTGAGCAAAGAGTTGCTACTAAAAGCTCACTAACCTTGAATATAACTGAGGGAATAAAAGCAAAGCAAACCACGATGTAAATTACTCAGAAAAAGGTTTGTTACTGTTCAGTAAATCCGCAATGTTTTCGGAAAACGTAAATTAAGTTTGTTAAAAAGAAAAAATTCTGCGAAACCTCGAATGATCTTCGGAAATCTTCAGATAGTCCCCGAAGACTTCAGCAAATTTTCTAATCACTTTTATTAGTCGTAATCGGGAAGATTNATATATATATATTTATTTACTGAGACAGTGGCGGATCCAGACCTTGAGCTAAGGGTTAGGGCTGGGGGGCGGTTTTATTTATTTATTTATTTATTTATTTATTTTTTGCTTGCCCTGGCGGCTTTTCTTCCTTCTGCGATTTTTTTACCCAAAAAAGGGGGTGGGGGTGGGGGTGGGATGCGGGCCCCCCGGGCCCCTAGATCCGCCACTGAAAGAGAAGATTAGAATCTATAAGAATATATCCTGGTTGGTGTGTTATGTGATTGCAATTGTTACAACTTTTCCTCCTGCGACTTTCTTTGTGTTTTAGCTTTATACTATGTGTCAGTGACAACCGCTGACGAGCAGTGGGCTGGGACCGATGCTGATGTCTTCATACAAATCTTCGGAAAGAACGGAAATACATCAGCCGTGGAGTTAACTAAGTCTGGCAACCTATTTGAAAGGGGAGAGTAAGAATTATTCCATTTTCTTTCACGTCCATAACAGTACTTGGTAACATAACGCTATTTCCAGGATATAAGAGCTTGGTAGCGATTTCTTCAGCTGGGCCACGAACTCGCACTCATGCGGGAAAAGCTTCCCGGTTTTCCCGTCCGCTAGACCATCTCAGCATGCCCGACCGAGGAAGCCCGGTCGGAGGCAATGAATTACACAGTACTCGTTTTATTTGCTCTCGGCCTCTTTACACAACAGTAGCAAACATTCAAACACCGCCAGTATATTCATGTACAAATATTTAACATGTGTAAAATAACAATCCTGTTGATAAATTTACTTGAAAAATGATTTGCTCAAATTTATATAATTACCTCGCGTATATGATGTTAACGTTATAAAACGAAGGGTAAATGCGAAGCAAAGGCCGTAAAAAATGCCGCTTTTGCCACATCATTTACACCCCGGCCGGCCGCTTTTAATGATTTGCGCAGCTTCCGGTGGCGAATAGTTTTTGTTGGAAATTGTGGTTTGTGCAGTAATAAATGCATAAAAATAGCATAATGATCAGAAATCAAAGGGTCATGAACCATAACATTGTCTATAAGTTTACACTGATTTCTAGTAATGATTAAATCCAAGACATGACCACTTGTGTGAGTCGGCGTAGTCACCCATTGTTTCCCATTAGTGGAAAATGGCGCTATATAAATGTATATTTATTTATTTATTTATTTATTTGGAAAAAAGGGGCATTTACGTACCTGATTTTTTTTACGATGAGTGAAAGAGATTTTTTCACTTCAGGTAGCAGGTTTCAGTTATAACGTTTTTTTTTTAAAAATTAATCCATATTTTTCAGCGTTGATGATTTTATTTTGGTGGAAAATGCTGTTGGCTCTTTGGAAAAAGTGGGAATTAAGCGCAACGAGAAAGGTGTATGGGACGATTGGAAGTTAGAACTGGTAAGATATGCTACATGTACACAATATTTGAGAATCAATTTATACTTTGTTTCAGAATGCGCTCTCAGAAAACACCTTGGTTCCTATAAAGGCACACGTTACTCTGTTTTTGCATTTTGTCGTGTTCTGCAAGGGCACCCAGCGTGACTGTTCCATACTGCAGCTAAAAAAAGGGTGTTTCCTACGAAGTTCATAGCTGAGTGTTAAAGATGTGTTCGTTCTGTGTCGCTGAGAGAGACTTTCTGTCTGTAGGGAAGATGGACCCTGCTTAGGAGAGCAAAAAGTATACCAATTTAGAGCTAGAAAAAGTCGAGCTGTTAGCTAGTGATGAATTCTTCCAAAATTGTTAGTTGTGTGCTTCTGACTATGACGGGACGCACGGGGCTTCTACTGTAAGTACCGCAGAGAAATGGTAGGAAATTTTCCTAGCATTCCTTATATACTCTCACTAGGGTTCTTCGTCTTGCGGCCAAGGAAGGCGTCATAATCTGTTTCAGTGACATGTCGATGATATCAAATTAAAACATAAACCAGAAAGGGCCGATGAAACATGAGACAAGCTTTAAACTGAAGTCACGGTATTAATAGCGCTTAAAAAGTAAATAGTGCGTTTGAGTCATTTTCGATGCTTTCAAATGATGGCCGACTCCACCGACGCCAATAATCTGAACAAAANAGAATCCACATGTAGATTAAAATCACCGACAATTAAAAGCTCGCCTGATGCTGTGGCCAATTCCTCAAGCAGGAGAGAAAATTCACGATAAAATGTTGGCAAAGGCACAGATGACGGTGGGCGGTAAATAATTATCATCCTGATCATCTTTGAGCTCTTGAAACGAACATCCAAGAATTCGAACGACTGGAAGGAAGTGTTCCACTCACTATTTTTGCATTTAATATCCAAACTTTCTTTGAAAAGCAAGCCGACACCACCACGTCTCGATTCCCGTGGAATGTGGATAAAATCATAACCAGTGGGACATAAATCACCACTCTCGACACAATCAATATTTCCAGGTCTGAGCCACGTCTCCGTCAACGCAAGAAGATCAATGTCCTTGTCAACAACAAAGTCTTTCAGTATTGACCTGGAATTGAGCAAACGAAAGTTGATCGCGTGAGAAGTATCCTGGGTGTTAGCAACTTGTGAGATCTGCACCTTCACGAGATTGTCGCGATTAAGCAAAGATGCAAGTTTCGAAAATCGATCATTTCGATTTGAAACAACCGTCCTTATGCTCCTCTGCCTCGTTCGTGACTTCGCCCATACACCTGCTCTACATCCTCTTGTCCGAAGCAAACTG